CAGGAGTAATTCTGATATATTCCGCAGGACTAACATGCTACCCTGGGAAGAAAAAAACAGAGGAGCTTCCTTCCTTGGAAATTTTCAAACTTGAGGGGTACCTGGGTGGCTCAGCCAGTTGAGCCTCTGACTCTTGATTTTGGCTCAGGTCAGGATCTTATGGTCCTGGGACCAAGTCCCCTGTGTGGGGTTCCAGGCTCAGCAGGGAGTCTGCGGATGGATTCTCTCTCCCCTTCTCCTTCTGCCCCTCACCTTGCTCATGCTCTCTTTTTCCCTTTCTTTCTCAAATAAATAATCTTAAAAAAATTTTTTTTTTCAAACTTGTGGAGTGCCTGGCTGGCTCAGGGAGGAAAAGCATATGATTCTTGATCTTGGGGTCATAAATTCAAGCCCCACACTGGGTATAAGGGATTACTTCAATAAATAAAACTTAAATTTTCTTTTGAACTTGTACAACACTAGAGATTTCCTAAATCCAAAATATAACTTCCAAAGTCACTGTACTTCTTTGTCCAGCAAAAAGTATTTGCAGAAAACATGTATTTTGTAGTTACTCAAATTTTTATGTGCAAAATCCCTTATTAACCTACATTATGGAAAATACTTCTTCCAAGAAAAAAGCGCAGCAGTAAGGAACCTCCTAACCTAAGGCAAAAAGCATTTATCTTTTCTGGAAACTGATCTTTAAATTGTTATATTTAAAAATGTTTTGTTGTGGTAAAATACCCAACACAAAACTTACCATCTAAAACTATTTTTAAGTGTGCAGTTCAGGGGGATTAAATGCATTCCTAATGTTGTGCAACCATCACCACCATCCATTTCCAGAACTCTCTTTATCTCATAGAACGGAAACTCTGTACCCACTGAACAGCAAATCCCATTCCCACTCCCCCCTCCCCCTGACAACGACTTTCTGTCTCCATGATTTTGACTACTCTAAGTATTTCATGTAAGTGGAATCATGTGGTATCTGTCCTTTTGGGATGGCTCATTTCACTTAGTCTATCTTCAAGGTTCATCCATGTTGTAGACCGTGTCAGAATTTCCTTTGTTTGGAAGGCTGAACACCATTGCATTCTATGGACATACCACATTCTGCTAACTTACTCCTCCACCGATGGACACGTGAGTTGCTTGAATGTTTCAGTTACTGTATATCATACTGCTATGAACATGGGTATACAAATACCTCTTCAAAACCCTGCTTTCAGTTCTTTTGAGCATACACCCAGAAGTGGAACTGCCGGATCATATGATAATTCCACTTTTTTAAGTTACACTTTTTGGATGAGTAAATTAAATCAATGAGTAATTAAATCAATCACTATGTTCCTCAAAAAATAAAAATTATCTAATAGTACTTACATAACCCTACCATGCCAAGAAATTATGTCAACAAAATTCTGTTTTCCGCTATGATCATAAATTGGCGATTTCTCATTCTACCAGGAATGTCCAAATCCCAAAAAAGAGGGTGCTGATGAGATGTTTTGTCTCTCTTCACCTTTTTTTTTTTTTTTTTTTTTTTTGCTTTAAAAAAATGAGTCTCCATGATATATTCAATGCTGGACCGCAGGGACTCTAAGAATCAATTACACTGTTTGTAAAACACACACACACTCGTTATGCTCATCAAACATGCAGGCACAGCGGCTTTCCCACACTGTTGTTTTTTATTTGGTCCTCAAAAGACTAAAACTGTTCAACAACGCCGAGGTCTGGGGCCCTTTGTCTAGGTGAGAACTATCACTGGAGTCCCTTTCAAGTACTTCCCAGAGCAGGTGGCAATGATATCAGGCCAAAGAATCTTCTACTTTTAGCTTTCTCTTAAAAAAGCTATTCGTCTCATTAATAAGCAAGGAGAGAACAATGCCAACATCAATGCTGGCATTTTCTGCTGTCCTATAAAAACTAAGCAAAATCTTAATAAAACGCAATGCAATCTACTGGGCATTTATTTTTTTTAACGTTTAAATACATGCTTTTACTGAGACATCAGGTTTTATATTATTAGGTTTCTTAATCAGTGGTATAATACACTTGATATAAAATTTACCATCTTGGGGTGCCTGGGTGGCTCAGTGGGTTAAGCCTGTGCCTTCGGCTCAGGTCATGATCTCAGGGTCCTCGGATCAAGCCCTGCATTGGGCTCCCTGTTCAGCGGGGAGCCTGCTTCCCCTTCTCTGCCTACTTGTGATCTCTTTCTCTCTCTGTGTCAAATAAATAAAAAAATAAAATATAATATAATAAAATTTACCATCTTAACCATTCTCCAGTGTACAGTTCGCTGGCATCAACACATTCCTATTCTTGTCCAAGCATCACAAACATCCACCTCCAGAACTCTTTTCACCTCGAAAAACTGGAATTCTGTACCCATTAAATATAAATAAATAAATTCTGTACTCTGCCCCCCCCCCCCCCCCCCCCCCCCTCAGTGGCCCTGCACCCCATATTTAGCAACTGCTAATTCTGTCTCCATGAACTGGACTTCTTCAACTACTTCGTGTAAGTGGGATTATACAGCGTTTATCCTTTAGACACTGGCTCATTTCACTTAGCATAAGACCTCCAGGTTCATCCATGTTGTAGCCCGTCTACTGGGTACTTATTTTTTTCTTTTTATTTTTTAAAGATTTTATTTATTTGAGATAGAGAGAGAGAGAGCAAGCACAAACAGAGTGAAGTGCAGAGGGAGAAGTGGACTCCCGTCTAAGCAGGGGCTCGATCCCAGGACTCCAGGATCATGACCAGAGCTGAAGGCAGATACCTAACTGGTGGAGCCACCCAGGCGCCCCACTAGTGGGCACTCCTGACCTCACGTATCACAGGAAAGCTTTAGCCATCAGAACAGAAATGTAGAGCCAGACGCATCTCAGCAGTGAAGCCCTTGTCAATGGATAGTCCTGACAGAAATCACTGTGTTTATTAAAGCAAGAGTTGGACGGTACCAGCAGGATCCAGGAAGATGAGCATCCACAGACCACAGGATGCTGCTCGTGCCTCCCTTCCCAACGCTGCTTCCAGCAAGTGAGCAAGTAGGGCATGGGAGCCAGCCCACCTGGCATGTCTGTAAAATCAGTTAGGGTACGGTTTCACTGAGGACTGAACTTTTCATTTTTCATGTCTGCTATACCCAATCTTTAGGGCTTCGGGGAAATGAGTGTTAATATATATATTCCTGGCCAGGAAAAAGTGACACCATTAGTAAACATCGAATTAATGGCTCTGTTACATTTAAGACAATTTTCTTATCTTTTTTTTTTAATAGTAGTAAACTACTTCAAAATTACATAATTCACCTTTTTGGTTTTGTTTTCGATTGTTCTAAATTTAAAGTCAATTAATTAACATAATATATTATTTGTTTCAGGGGTACAGGTCTGTAATTCATCAGTCTTATATACATATTTTTTAAGATTTTATTTATTTATTTGTCGGAGAGAGAGCACAAGCAAGCACACACAAGCAGGAAGAGCGAAAGGCAGAGGGAAAGCAGGCTCCCTGCTGAGGAGCCTGGGATCATGACTTCAGCAGGAGGCAGACACTTAACCTACTGAGCCACCCAGGCATCCCACAGTTTACCTATCTTGATGGTAATACCAAACTGCATGATAAAAAATACAACTTGCTCCATAAAATACAGCATTTATTACATCATTTTTTGGCTGTGTGGCTATTGTATATAAGCCTTATTTCCCCCCAATAAATTATATACTTCAAAAAATATAGTCTTGGAATTCTTTTATAACCATTTCACATTATTGTTCACAAAAACTAGGTATTGGGTAAAATGCTACTGGTTGATCAAAAAGGAATTGATAGGACCATCAAACACATATTAAATAATGGACTGATCATAAAAAAAGTGGTTAAACAAGGGGGTATTTATAGCTTAGTAGTTACAGGTGTTCGTTTTGTAGACAAACACTTAGCAATTTAAATCTCAGTTCTACTCAGAATTGTTCTGAATTAAATGACAACACATTCAATACCACTGGGTCGAAACCTGAAATACAGTAAATAATCCATCATGTTTCAACCATTAGTGGTAGTAATGTTATTGCAATGGACCTCTTATGATGGTATTAGGAAGCAGTACCTCTGGGAGGTGGTTAGGTCATAAGGACGGAGGCGTCGTAAGTGGGATTAGTGCCCTTGTAAGAGAGACACAAGAGAGCTTCCTCACCCCTTTTGCCCTGTAAGGACACAAGACTAGACAGTTGTCCATGAACCAGGAAACGGGCCTTCATGATACAAAGGATCTGCCTGAACCTTGATCTTAGACTTCCCCATCTCCAGAACTGTTAAGAAATGAACGTTTATTGCTTAAGGTACCTAGTCAATGGTAGTTTGTTATGGCAGTCTAAAAAGACTAAGACAGCTATGGGTCCACTTTATGTATCTTTAACTTCTCCTGTTTTCTGACTTGTATTTGATTGGCCATTTCATAACTGAAAAGAAGTCTGTCTCAGGGAAAGTGCCAGAGAACAAGGTTTGATTTTATTCTTACGCTCTTTCAGATATTTTATTGTTGGGTATCTCTAACTAGGGGTGGCTCATTAAAATTGTATAGGTATCCGATTTTAATCTTGGAAATAGGAAAAAGGAGAAGCATCTCACCCAACACATTCAACTTGCACTGATCACCTGCCAGTGTTCCCCATTGATCAAACCTGACCATAATCCAGAAAACTCACTGAGGGATTTCAAACTGTGGGGCATTTGCTTTAAAAAATGCATATGAGACTTCCATTTCCAATTAGGATACAGAGCACGTAGAAAGGCCTTTGATCTTGTGGTCGCAAGGAATTTCACCTGGACAAAATAAAAACATACTTTTCTGTGGGTCAGTCTAGAAAGAGTAGTAAGACCTAATTTCAACAAGACCTAATTTCAACAAGAAACAATCCCTTCACGAAAGCCAGCGTAGGCGGCGTATCTGAAGGCTGGGCCTGGCTAGCCTGTAGAGCAGGATGAAGATCCCACAGACAGACCTGAGCTGGCAGGAACACGGAGACACCAGCCTTCCAGGACAGTGTGAACTGGTAGGACAGACAAACAGGAATCTGGAAGAACAACAAATGCAACAGCAAATTACTGGTAAGTCTTCCCATTTACCCCCGTACCTGCCTCTCCAAAAACCAACAGAGCAACAGTGAAGAGGTTAGAAAGCTAAGAGAAATCACATAGCCCACATATTCTCATGGTACCTTAAGCTCTGAATGCGAAGGGGAATCAAAATACCTAAAATGGTAGTCCAACACTCTCCCAGTTGAAATACTGACAGAGATAAGAAAAGAAAAAAAAAAGGAGATCAGGTGAACTCAATCTGATTAAAAGTGCAACCCAGGCTTTAACTGAATTCTAAGGGATCTGAATTTCCAGCTCCTCACCCTAATCTCCATGAAGAATGAAGAGCTTGCACACTCTGAGATTTGAAACAAAATATTATACTTCAGTTTTTACTGTTTTATTTACACCATCTGGGATACAATTTTTAAAATTACAAAATATATTAAAGAAACAGAAAAATGTGATCCATAATTAAGAATTAACCTAGTGAATAAGGAAAGAAACATGGATGACTCCATTCATGAAACTAGTAGTTAACAACTTTAAAACAACTACGATAAATATCTTAAGGAATATATAGAAAAATAAGCATATACTGGGAGCAGATTTGAGATATATTAGTATAGAATAGAAATTCTAAAATAGAACTAAATAAAAATCCAGGATTAAAAATGCAGTATTTGAGTAAAAATTTATTGGATAGGGTATCTCCTGAGATAAGATAAATAAAAGCAAAGATGGGCTTTCGGACTGCATCTAAATGAAAAGATTCTGCATAGTGAAGAAAACAAAACTAAAAAGGCAACCTGCTGAATGAATTTGCAAATGACATATTTGAAAAGGGTTAGTATACAAAATATTTATTTATTTATTTATTTTAAATATTTTATTTATTTATTCGTGATAGAGAGAGAGGGAGGCAGAGGAAGAAGTAGGTTCCCCACTGAGCAGGGTGTCTAATGTAGGACTCGATCCCAGGACCTGGGATCATGACCTAAGGCAAAGGCAGATACTTAATTGACTGAGCTGCCCAGGCACCCAGTATCCAAAATATATAAAGAAGTTATACGACTCAACACCAAAAAGAAAAAAAAAACAAAAAAACAAAGCAAACCAAAAAAACCCACCTCAAATAATTTGATTAAAAGTGGGCAGAAGACATGAACAGACACTTCTCCAAAAAAGACATCCAACAGACACAGGAAAAGATGTTCAACATAACTCAACATCAGAAAAACGCAAATCAAAAGTACAATGAGATATCACCTCACACCTGTCAGAATGGCTAAAATCAGAAACACAAGAACAAGAGTTGGCAAAGATGTGGAGGAAAAGGAACCCTTGTGTACTATTATTGGTAGGAATACAAACTGGTGCAGTCACTTTGGAAAACAGTACGGAGGTTTTTCAAAAATTAAAAATAGAAATACCTTCCATCCAGTAATCACTCTACTGGGTATTTATCCAAAAAAATATAAAAACACTAATTCAAAGGGATACATGCACCCTTATGTTTATAGCAGTATTATCTACAGTAACCAAGATATGGAAACAGCTTAAGTGTCCATCCATACATGAATGGATAAAGAAGGTGTGGTAAACACACACACACACACAGACCCAGGAATATTATTCAGCTATAAAAATTGAATGAAATCTTGCCATTTGCAACAACATAAATGGGGCTAGAGAGTATAATGCTAAGTGAAATAAGCCAGTCAGAGAAAGACAAATACCATGTGATTTGACTCATATGTGGAGTTTAAGAAACAAAACAAACCAGCAAAGGAAAAGAAGAGAGAGAGAGAGGCAAACCAAAAATACAGACTCTTGAGAACAAACTGATGGTTACCAGAGGGGAGGGTGGACAGGTGAAATTGGTGAGAAGGATTAAAGAGCTCTTATCATGATGAGCACTGAAGAAGGTCTAGAATTGATGAATCACCATACTCTACACCTGAAACTAATATAACATGGTATGTTAAAAATACTGAAATTAAAATGCACAACTTTATTAAAAAAGTAAAAATCTGAAAAAAAATTTACTGGATGGGCATCACAAAAGACAAGTCAGTGAGCTTACATTTTCCAAATTAAACACAGAAAATGAACAGGAGAAAAATGAACTAAGTAGCAGTGACGTGAGAAATAATATCAAACACTTCAGAATATGAATAATTAGAGGAGAGAGAACAATGGAATTTAAAATATTTCAAGAAATGTGAATGAAATGTACCAAATTTGAAAAATATCAAACCATTAACCCAAGACACTCAATGAATCCCAAGCAGAAAAATGCAAACAAATCCACACTTAAGCATATCATGGTCTAATTTCTGAAAACTCACCATAAGAAGACACAAAAATTAAAAAGCAAGAAGGAAGGCAAATATTGCAAGGGAAACTGGAGGTTATACACAAACAATGAATCATGGAATACTACATCAAAAACTAATGATGTACCATATGGTGAGTAACATAACATAATATAAAAAATTTTAAAAATTTTTAAAAAAGAGCAAGAAGGTAAAAATGACATTACATACAGGAGAACAAAGATAATAATAATAATGGCCAACATCTCATAAAGAACAATAGACGCCAGAATGGAACAACCTACCTGAAGTGCTAAAAGGAAAAAAGAGAAAACTGTCAATCTAGAATCCTATGCTTGGCAAAATTACCCCTCAAAAATGAAGGCACCTTAAAGATGTTTTCAGCTAAACGAAAGCTTAGAGTATTTGTCACTAGCAGATCCACATTACAGTAAATGACATAGGAAGTTCTTTAGGTTGAAGGGAAATAACACGAAACAGAAAAACTCAGATTTACAAGAAGGAATGAAAAGCAAAGACCTGGAAAAAGTGTGGATAAATATTTTAAAGTTTTTTTAAATTAAAAAAGAAACAATGATAATTGGCTGTAAAGCAAACATACTACCGTATTATGCAGTTTATAAGTTATGTAGAAGTAAAATATATAGCAACAGCACAACAAATGAAAGGAAGGTAAATGGAAATGTACAGTTGTAAGATTCTTAGATTAAATTGGAAGTTGTAATATGAATTCAGCATAGATGAATCCCTAAAACAGCCAGTAAAGATAAAACCAAACCTTTGCTTACTAAAGAATACTTGAATAATCCAAAATGAGACAAAAGAAAGGACAAACTCATCAAATGAATAGAATACAAATAATGAGAGGGCAGACTTAAAATTGGCCCTATCAATAATGACATTAAATGTAAATGGACAAAACCCTCAATTAAGAGGGATTGCATGGAGCACTGGGTGTTATATGCAAACAATGAATCATAGAAAACTACATCAAAAACTAATGATGTACTATACGGTACTAACATAACACAATAAAAAAAAAGAGAGAGATAATATTCAAGATTGATCAAAAAGTAACAACTAACTGGGGCGCCTGGGTGGCTCAGTGGGTTAAGCCGCTGCCTTCGGCTCAGGTCATGATCTCAGGGTCCTGGGATCGAGTCCCGCATCGGGCTCTCTGCTCAGCAGGGAGCCTGCTTCCCTCTCTCTCTCTCTCTGCCTGCCTCTCTGTCTACTTGTGATCTCTCTCTGTCAAATAAATAAATAAATAAAATCTTAAAAAAAAAAAAAGTAACAACTAACTATATGCCACTTATAAAAGACACACTTTAAGTATAAAGGCCAGATAGGTTAAAAATAACAGGATTTATAAACATACGTACACATACACACATACATATGATGGTGTGTGTGTGTGTGTGTGTGTGTATGTATACATCAATCATAAACAACAGGTATGGCTACATTACTATCAGATAAAGTAGACTTCAAGACAAGGAGTATCCCTAGAGATATGAAGGGGTATTATATAATGATCAAAGAGTCAATTCAGCGCAAAGACATTAAGAGTGTTAAGAGTGTATGCACATAATTATAGAACCTCAAACTAATTGAAGCAAAAATTTACAAAACTAAAGAAAGACACAAATCCTCAATCATAGTTGAAGACTTTGAGCATCCTGTGCTCAACAACTGGGAGAACAAGTGGACAAACTGATAAGCATTAAGACGTTTTAATATATTTATTTGAACATTTAAAAACATAATAATTAACTAGTGTATATGTTCTTTTCTTTCTGGTTTTTCTGTTGTTTTTTAAGAGACTTTACTTATTTGAGAGAGAGAGCAAGAGCAGGGCAGGGACAGAGGCGGAGGCAGAGAAAGCAGCAGACTCCTCACTTAGCAGGGAGGGCGATGTGGGGTTCGATTTCAGGACCCCAAGATCATGCCCTGAACCAAAGGCAGACTCTTAGCGAATGAGCCACCCAGGTGCCCCATATGTTCTTTTCTAAATAAACTTCACATTCTATAGCCCTGTGAAATGGAAACAGAAGCCTAAGCTTTTTGGGGTTTGAGAATAAGATGTTCCAAAACATATGAAGTGCTTAGAACAGTACATTATAAAATACAGAGGAATTCTGAACACCAAGGTACATTTTTGAATAATTTTTTAGGAATTCCATTGGTTTCCTTTAAATCTTAAGAAACCACAGGACATTAATACTGATGTAGGCTCTTATAGTCACATATTTCTCAGTTTTTGGCCCCAGTACAAGTATTAAATACCTCATTAGCACCTTTCAGCTACTAACTCAAATGAAATATTAAATCAAACCGAATACCAAATATCAATAAAATCAATTAATGAAAATCAAATATGAAAATCAGTACAATCCAAGATACTTAACTTGATGATATCTTCCTTCACAATTTATTTTTGAGAGACTCTGGTAATCTTAGCAGAAAATACTGCTGTAACGTCCACTGTAATTTCATTTAGAGACAAACCATCGCTTTGTGTTCATGCCCCTCAAACCCATACAAAAGAGACTGAATCCCCTCTCCTCCAATTTCCCACCCCACACTGTACAAAGTTCAAGCCTAAAGCAAACCTGGCTAACACCTACCTTGCCTTGGGTAGATAGATGTGACAAAGC